CGGCAGCCCAGGCTGCCCCACCAGCAGCGCTTTCTCCTCCCCGGAGCCAGCCCAGATGCGCCTGCAGCAGGGAACCGGGCAGCAGGACTGCCTCCCAGCCCTGGCACTGGCCCTGGGGACGCCACATCACTGGGCACCGGGGTAACCGCTGAGCTGATGCCACAGCCCACATTAACGTCAGCCCCGGAGAACCCTGACCGGTCCCCTGAGCACCCCGGGCACGGCCTTGCCACGCACAGCGCAGTGACATCCCATTTCCCAAGACCCCGGCACCTCCAGGCACCACCACGTGCCCTGTGGTCCCCTCCGCAGGGACATCCCGGAGGATGCTCTGTGCAGTCAGTGGACGAGTTTTTGAAGACGCCCCGTGCTGGGACATCCTTTACTTCAGCTCCTGTCTGTGAACCAAACTCTTCAGAAACTACAGCTTCCCCCGCGCCAGCGGAGGAGAGACCGACGGCGTGCTGACACTGCCGCAGCTGCCCACGCGCCCCGCGAGCACGGGGACGCAGCATCCCTCACCGCCGCCACCGGGAGGGTCAAGTCCCGGTGACCCTCTGGGCTGTGCAGGTGGACCGAGCAGTGCCCTGTGCCACAGTTGGCCACCTTCGGCTCTGGTGGCTCTGCCAGGAGCTCGTGGGTGACAGCAGCCCCCGCCGCCGGCAGGGAGGAGCGAGGGGGATTAGCGAAGGCGATGCCAGCAGACATCTGCAGCGCGATGACACATTTACGCACCCTCAGACGGCAAAGGAGGAGCCGGAGATCAGGACATGTGGCAGAGGTCTCGCAGCCCCTCACGCTCCACGCTGGGGGCCCCCCAAATCTCCAGATAGATGGGTTTTTAGCAGGGGGAATAGGTTTGCACCCAGAAAAGCAGCTGCCTGGGCGTGAGCTTAGGCACAGGGACGGTAGGGGTCTGGCCAAGCTACGAAATCCTGATGAGAAAGCGGGTTTGATGCACGCTGGGTCCTTTGCCTCAGTTCTGATACTCCGGATAAGCCGAGGACAGACCCAGTGAGGCCGTCCCGGCGCGCAGGGAGCAGCCAAACACAGCCCCGCCAGAGGTTTCCGTGCTGATGCAGCCCGAGCACCGCCTGGGGTCGTTCTCCCAGTCCCACCCCAGCAGGGACCCCCGGGCTCCCTCCTGTCGTCGGCACCAATTTGTGTCCCGTAGGTCTTCTCCTGGGCCTGAACGCAACGGACTCAGCACATGGGGCCAGAACCTCCACCCATGTAAAACCACCTTTGCCACGGAGCTGAAGTGGCATCAAAATTGCTGATCTGAAGATCTGTCCCTTTCAGCCACGTGGAATGAGGGAAACTGCCACCCGGACCTAAAGTCCGGATGAACTCGCTAAGAGAGCAAAAAAGCTAAAACCAGAAAATCTGAATTGAGTTCACATGATTCCACGACACTGAATCCGCTTTCCTTATCTCTGGTCGAGTGCATATAATAGTAAATAAAAGCAATGGAAGTACAAGAATTAGTATGAAAGTCACCACCAACAGCTGTCACAAAACTCACCTTAACCCCTCGAGCAATGACCTTATTTGCAGCGTCCCTGTTCGCGTTCGCAAGGATCCGCAGGAAAGCCAGAAAACACCACAAACCCTTACTGGAATCACTGCACCTCACTGCCGGCTCAGTTTGTACTTTTCTGTTGAAATTTGCCATCAGAGCTGACGGCACATCCCCATTAAAATTGGCTCGAATGAGTCAATTAGCCAACAGTCACCCCACGGGGGGGTGTCAATCTCAGCAGAAGGGTCGTTCG